ACAGATATATTTACTTATTCAAAGTGGAAGATTTCAGAGAACGTGTGTGTGTGTGTGTGTGTGTGTGTGTGTGTGTGTGTGGGAAACCTGTGGAAAGCACTGAGCGCATTACGTCACTCATGTCTTTTTCATTCTCCAATCAAATGAAAGCAGAGGCGGGGTTTCTGTCGAGCTGACAGCAGTGTTTGTGTTGTCAATACAGCTATGCAGACTTTTAAAGATGGAGGAGAAACTAGTGGTCGCTATTTCAAGTTATCCAGTTTGTATGAAGTTATACCAAGTTATACAGTTTGTATGACTTCACAAATCCTGAATATCACAATGTTATTAAATATTATAATTATAAGAACATCTACAGCAAGACTTGAGCACACTTTCGGTGTGATCAGCCCATTATTCTGCCAAATGAAGGGCATTTAGTGCAGGTATAATATCATAAATATCCAGCTGCAGTGAGTGCATCACCAATCAGTAACAAGCTCAAAGTTTACATGATCTGTGCAGAACACCGTCAGTGAAGCCATCCTCTCTGTCTTTTAGTAGATCTGTATCATATGAGTAGGGTTGTAACGGTATGAATTTTTTACGGTATGATAATCGTCTAAAACAATACCACGGTTTGACGGTTTCGCGGTATACGGTATTAAATAGTAATTCTCATAGCAAAGACCCTGAAAAGAATAAGAACACGTTTTCTGACTGAACAAAGGTTTTATTTCAACAAACTTTTGAAAGAACCATTTTAATAGAACTATAGAAGTCTTTTATAAAAATAAACTGAAAAATCTCCCATTTTAATAAATTAAATTAGAAGGAATAAACAAGCAAGGTCTTTTAAGATTAGACAAAAATAAACTTAAACTGTCCTTCCTTATAAGCACGATAAATGGGAGACCAAAAGTGCAATACCAAGTTTATGGCTGTAAACATGTATTTAAAGTGTTGTTTTTTTCAGTCTAGGTTGTGATGAAGAAATGTAAGCATGTTGAGATTTTCAGGACTTAATCTTGACCGCTGAGGTGAGAGAATGTGTCCACTTGTACAATGAACAAATAAAAAATAATAAATAATGTGTCAAAGTCCAAATAAACATGGTGCAAATCCTCAGTAAAAAAAATAGATATAAATATTTACTTTACTATAAATAGTTACATAACGAAACTAGATTCAATATGGAACATCCTTAGGTTTTATGTGCCAGCATGGATATGGTTGTCTGTGGATATGGATTTGGATATGGTTGTCTGCAATGCAGACAAACAGCTGCATCTTCATTTGCGTCTTTTGAAAACAGCAAGAGCAGCAGTTCGTCTTTGCTGTGTCAC